TGGCCGCCCCCGCCTGAAGTACACGGTGAAGTGGACCGGATACAACGAAGTTACAGAAGAGCCCGCTGACTATCTGGAACATGCCGAGGAAGCTATCCGGTCGTTCTATCGCTGTTACCCTGAAAAGCCCGGTCCTTAGGCCTTAACAGAGTTCGGCCGTAAGAAGGGGAGTACTATCACGGCTTAAACGGTAAAGCTTGCTGCACAGCGTAACACGTGATGTTAGGACCCGGCGAGAGGCCTTGTTGCAAGGGCCTATGCGAGCCTTAGCAGGAGTATACCTGCCGACCGCCGCCCTGCCTTCTTATAGCTCCTTAAGCTACGTTTTGTTATTTAACCCGCCTGCCTGCCGTGCATTATAGAACACGTAGTGAATTCAGTTATTACTTCTACCTACCTGCCCGAGCTAGCTAGGGCAATCCTGCCGCCTAAGACCGTAATAGAGACGGATCGGTTCTATATAATTTAGGTGGCGGAGGGTTACGCGTATAGAGTGCATAATCTTTTCTTCTTTTAGTTATTTTCCGTTAAATCTAGTTAAGTATAAGATAATTAGTAGCAGGTTAAAATAAAGGTTCTATACACGCGCTAGAGATCTATAAATATAACCTATACTAGTAGCCCTGCTATTAATTAGGGCTCGGGCATCTAATTATATAGAACCTTACTACAGGGAAAATAGGGTAAAAATCTATTATTTCTAGGAATTAGCTATAGGTTCTTCGAATAGATTTATAGAAATCCGGGGTTAGAATAGTCCTAGGGGGCAACTTAGGCCCGGGACTAAGTTTTTAATAGCTTTTTTATATAGGACTAATATTTTCCTCTAGAATAACTAGAGCTAGAGAATAAGTTTATAAATATAGATAAATAGCGTGCAGGTAAGAACTAAGGCGGGCTTACGGCTTATATATATATGCGTGGACTTAAGGGCCTATCTAGGCTAGATAATTAGACTTATAGCAATAGTATAGAGCAGTTATAAGAGATATAGCTATACTTGCTATATTTATAGCAGAGGCCCTTTCGGCGGCGTTTTTTTTATTCGGCAGATCTAGCCGGGGTGTAGTCTAATACCTCGATTTCTATTATATTTAGGTCCTTTTAAGCAAAGGGTTAATAATAAAAGGGATAGTTAGCTAGTAGGTATTAGAGATTGTTATTATATGCAGAAATTAGGTTAGTATATTTATTTATATTATCCGGAATATAAATGCCGACTATAGCTCTATATAGCTCGTCTAATAATAAGCGTTAAAGTTAGGTTATTAAACCGATTTTGTTAAGGCCTGTATCAGCGGTAAAGTATTAGAATTTAGCAAAGTAAGAAATAAAGCTATATTTTCCTTATTTTAGCAAGTTAAGTTTACTTAGAGTAGTAAGTTCCTTATTAGGATTGCTGTATATAGCCTATAGAAATAATATAAATTATTCTACTATTTATATATCCCGATCTATTAAAAAATCTATTAGTATTAACGGGTTATACTCTAGACAAGAGTATATATATAGCAGGCGGGCTTGTTTAGTAGGGTATTAGTCTGCGTTTTCTTCTAGTTTATATTATAGTCTTCGGATAAAGCTAAGGAGCTCCTTTTAGCGGCTGTTAAATATTAGAGGGTTAATTAATTAGTCGGATTTCTAGGTAGGCGGGTTAGAATATATTAGGGAGGTATTAGAAAAGGGAAAAGGTATAACCTTAATAGTTAGGGTCTATATATAGTTTATAGGGGCGACAGGCTTTAAGCTATTATTTAATTTGTAAACAGTGTTCTCTATAGATTATTAGTTAGGCGTAGGCGGTATAGGGGGAGAGGATTAGGACCGGATCGTTAATATTTCCTTTTATAGCACTGCTATTTCTTCTATAAAGATAGATTATTAGCGCTATAGAGCTCTTATAAAGGTAGATTATTAGTTCTATAGGGCTTCTATAAATAAGAATTATACTATAGTAAGCTATTCCTTTATAGAAGAAACCAGCTCTATAAGTATAGTAGTTAGGTTATTTAGGGTTATTATAGTAGTAAAGGAATATAATATAATATTACGCTAGCGCTATAAGTAGGAGTTTAAGGGCTTAAGAAGGAGCGTTAATTAAGTGCTAGGTATAATACTACGTAGAGAATTAAGACATTGTGTAAAGAACAGGAAATTAGAAGCGCCGGCGAAGAAGATATACCGGCGGGACGTGCGTATAGCGCGAGCTTATAAGCTCCGTGCAAGATTAGGTAATAAAGCTATATAATAGGCGAATTATGGTGGGTAAGGTGTTGCGGGTAGTTACTGTAATAATATGCTTGACTTTAAAGCTTTCTATATTATGCAGAAATATATATAATATATATTATTAGATTTTAAACTAATTTAGAGTTAAAATGTTTTTAAAACTTAGAGAATTTTTTCCTAGATCCTTTTAGTACTTTATTTAGCCCCCTAAGGGCCTGCTAAGAGTTATAGCTAATATTTTTATACCTAGTTTTCTATAACTATAATCTATAATTTACTAGTAAGCTGCCGTTTGCTAGACTATAGTCTAAAATATTACAGTCTATTAAATAATTTCTAGTTTCTTCTAGCTACGATGTCTAAACTTATAATTATTTAGCGAGAAGTTATGCGTTAGTAGCGGCCTTTAGCTAGAAGGTTAGTAATTTAAAAGCTGCAAGGGAGTAGGTATAGAGTAAGCTAAAAATCTATTAGAGTGCGGATAAAGCGTTAGATAAGGTACTTTAGGTGCAAACCTTTATTAAAAATATTGCAAAGAAGAACTAAATAGTTAATAACTAGACTTAAATATACTTATAGTTAACTCGGACAAATACTTTATATTATAACTGCTAGCCTCCCCTTATAGCCATGCTCTTATACAACCCTGTTAATAGTTTCTAGTCTCTTAAGGCAATACCCTACTAATACAGCACAGTTACGGTTCTTAAAAGTGTGCAGAAGCGATTAATAATCTAAGGGAGGGGTAACCCTACTAGAACTTAAGAGCTAAAGTAAAATAAAAAAGTAAGCTAATTTGCATTTTAAGCTCTTTGTAGTATTATATTAAGATATAGAAACTCCTGTAATAATACTACCGAGAAAGCTAGACGCATATCTTATAAATATAAACTACTGTTATGCCACTCCTAATTACAACTTCGCTTTTTTAGCGAGCTCGGCCAACTTTACAGCTTCTCTTGTGCCTAGATCCAGCAGCACGTCCTTAGAGCCACCTTACTTTAGTTAGTACTCCCTTTTTAAAAGATAGAGGTTTAGATAGATAAATAACTGACCGGAATAATTAGCGTCGGCACCAGCCTCGTAATCTGCTTAATCCTCGCCCCCTGCCCCGTTTTCGTTAATCCCAGCCCGCCCATTAACTTCTAACACTTATCCGCCACATACTTACTCACAATCCCACCCTGCACCTTTAACAGCCCGGTTACGCCGCCTAGTCTTACGCTCGCTTTAGTATAGCTTAAATACTTAATCTTATAAATTAATTCCTTAATCTATGCCTATAGCCCCTCTACTTGCCTCGCTATATATGCAAACTTATGCCTTACAACTGGCTGTTCAATTAGCGTCTTCCCGAACGCTTCTCGCTTCCTGCACTAGTTTATCGCGTTGTGGAGACAAATGCGCGAGCTGCAGAGGGCTTGGAAGGCGATCCAGAGACGCTTGTGGTTAAAGTTTAATATTATTTGCTTGAAGCCTTGGCCTTCTTTACCGATAAGGAAAGATACGGGCACGAGCACGTCTTCAAATGTGATGTAGGTTGTGGCTGTCATGCCGCCAGCGCCGATCTCAATTTTTCGGGTCTTAATTCCTGGTAGACGAGGGATTAGGAGCATGGATAAACCGGCTGGACCTGGACCGCCGGTTCGGACTAGAGTTATAAAGTAGTCGGCGAATATGCTATTTGTAATCTAGTATAAGATGTCAGCTAGCGGTTCTTTTAGTAATAGGCTTGGTAACATATCTTCTTCTCTCCGTTAACAAGATAATGCTTCCCGTCTTTCGTTTTCTCTGCCGTTGTTGTAATGTTCTTAACATCTGATCCAGCAGAGGGCTCCGTAATAGCTAGACAAATCCTCTTCTTACCACTTAAGATTTAAGGGAGTACTTCGGCTTGTAATAAGGGAGATGCGTATTGCTTTAGTAGCGGTGCTCCAACAGTCTACATCTTGTCAGCCTCGAGCCCCTATGCTCTCGTTCTCCAAATTCGTAAGCGATCAGATCTTGTGCAGTACTTAAGTTGAGAGTTATACTAGTCTAATAAAGATGCTTACAATACTCGGCGCTCCTGCATACAGTTCGTCCCATAAGATAAAGTTATAAAAGCCATCCTATTCCTCCGGCTTAATACCTGCGGCGACTGGGAAATGCGACCATTCTTTTGGGATGCGGTTGCCGAATGCGATAGGGAGAACAAGCCTATCGCGGGCGAATTTCTCGTAGGTGTTAGATAGAATATTGCTTTTCTGCTCCTACTCCTCTATATAGTCGGTTATGTTCTAAATATAGTTTTAGTGTGGGGTAGATAAGAAGACGAGTAGAGGAACTACTTCTAATACCTATTTATAAACCCAGTCGTGGAGTTTAAAGTAGGACTCTGTGTAATATGGTAAGGGACGTCCAGAGTACCTGTAAATATTAGGTGCTGAAGTCCCCAGTATATAACAAGTTATAAAGAGATGTTGGTGTAGAGAATTCTTAAAGGTAAAAACTTAGGGCCGATATAAGAGGTAGGGGTAAATCTACTATGCCGGTTCTGCCTAAGGACTTGTGCTTCTAAACTGCTTTAACAATATATTAAAAAGATGAAACTTAACAGTGGAAACTTAATAAAATTCAGATAAGTATGTTATAATTGAGAGACAAGGTGGGAATAATAAGTTTGATGTTTTGGGAACATCGGCCGTCGTTGCCGAGGTGGAGGCTTGCGGCCCGCGGATGTTCGGCGTTGGTTGCGTTTAGCCTCAGTGCCACCTTTATTCCTACCTAGACAATACAACAACAACCTTTCTTAGTTCAATACAAACGAATCCATCTTCTTTGCTCCCGTCAACGCCTGCCCCCATAATGGCCACCGTGATCGTCTTCGGCCCAACAGGCAACAACGGCTCCGTCGCCGCCCAAACCGCCCACCAAAATGGCGCCAAAGTCTGGCTCGCCATGCGCGACCCTTCCAAAGCCATCCCAGGCCTGACCCCCGAGGCCGAGAAAGCCGGCAACTACTCGCGCGTCCAGGCCGACCTGAGCAAGCCCGACACCGTCGCCGCCGCCGTCAAGACCGCGGGCGCCACGCGCGCTTTCATTTACGTCGCCCAGGGCACGAAAGACTATATGAAGGGCACCGCCGAAGCGCTTAAAGCCGCCGGCGTTGAATTCGTCGTGCTGTTAAGCAGCTATACCATCGGGTACACTCCACACGCGGACGTGCAGCCGAGCGAGATTATCCCGTACGCGCATGCGCGGCTCGAGGTTACGTTGGATGAGGTTTACGGGCCAGATGGGTATGTGGCAGTGCGTCCCGGGGCGTTTGCTACGAATTTGTTGCGGCAAAAGGAGGGGATTCGCGCCGGTGAGGTGAAGATGTATGCGCCCGGGTTCAAGATTGACTGCATCACGCCCGTGGACATAGGCGGGGTGATCGGCACGATTTTGGCTGAGGGGCCGCCGCGGGATGGGCAGCGCAAGATCTTTTTGTATGGCCCTCAAATTCTGTCGCAGAAGCAGGGACTGGAGATTATTGGCGAGGTGCTAGGCAAGGGAATCAAGGTTACGGGCGTTGATGCGGAGGAAGCGTTGGCGCAGTACCTTGCTAAGGGTGCTCCCAAGCCAATGGCGGAGTATCTTATTAGGGCGTTGGGCGACACAGACCCGGAGTTGGAAGATGGTTCGTGGCTCGCGAATCACAAGGAGGGCATCGAGAATGTGAAGAAGTATACGGGGAAGCCTGCCACTGGGTTGCGGGTGTGGGTTAAGGCAAACTCGGAGCTCTTCAAGTGAGCCTGGGGACTTGAAGGGAGGGGGCGAAGGATCCTATGCAAAGCTGAGAGCACTAATTAAGAAGTATATTATAAGCAATCAATTTTAAGAACTTAAATAAAGGTTTCGGATTAAACGATATCCCTCTAGACTAGTAAAAGATAGAGAGTATACACGTCCTAGCAGGGTTCCAGGAAGCGACTAGAGGTACTAATATTATATTAGTAAGAGTTACTAAGTGTATAACACACTTAATAACGTATTCCATAAGCGAGCCGTCCACCCAAGCGAGCCGTCTACTTCATCACAAAAACGCGACGCGTCAACTTCCAACCACTATGCGTTGACAACACAACGTGCAATTAATACAAAATGAAGGTCGAATATGCATAGCTATCGCAGCAATCAATTAGCAGCAATTTAAAAGCGAATGGCGCGCTATTACGATATATAACGTACCCAGAAGCACACTTCAAGATCGACGCGCTGGAACGACCCCACAACGCGATTCTGAGCCTAATTCAAAGAAGCTTTCCAAGCTAGAGGAATTAGTTGTTGTTCAACATATACTCAACCTAGATTCGCGAGGATTTCCGCCCAACCTGCATGCTGTACAAGAAATGGCCAACAAATTGCTCGCCAAGCGCGCCGCTGGCCACGTTGGCAAGAACTGGCCAGAGAACTTTGTTAAGCAAACACCTAAGCTTAAAACACAATTTAATTAAAAGTATAATTGTTAGAGAGCTTTATACAAGGATCTAAAGGCAATTAGTAATTAGTTTAAGCTTATACGCAATATAAAAGCAAAGTATAGTATTCTAGATAAAAATATATATAACTTTAATAAAGCTGGCTTCTAAATAGGCGTTATCTTAACTAGCGTAGTTATAATAGGCTCTAAGCGGCGCAATTATCTAAAATTAATATAGCCAGGCGATTATAAATAGATAATAATAATCTAAGGAGTTAATACCTGTAGACAGGCTATCCCGCTATTTATTATCTTTTTAGGTAAGTACTACCTCTCTATATAGTATAAGGGTAATAATATACTACTAGACTAGGTTATAGCAGTAAGTAATAATAGCTAGACAATAAATAAGTTTAGTATTACCTAGCTATAGTATTTTAATAAGTATATAAAGAATCGCACTATAGGTATATATTAGCTGCTAATTATTAATAGCTATAAAAGCCACCGCTTACTTAAATTTAAAGAGATTTATAAGGAGAATAATATTATTACTTTCTATATACTAGCGCATTTATTACACCTACTACAGCCGCTTAATATTAGCTGCTTTATACTATTAAAAAAGGTATATAGGCGCTAAATTAAGGACTTAATATACTACTATATTAACTATATTATAAAGCTAAAGTTCTTACTAGTATTTAAAGCAGCCTTCTATAACTTAATTATAAAAAGTAATATTTGCGCAGATTTTTAAGGCGCAGGCCTTATACTACTTAATCTAGAGGCAGTACTTTTAAAGCTTAATATTCGGCTTTATATACTATTGCCTTCTGCTATAGTAAAGGCTTAATAGGAATTAAAAACACTAAGCAACGCTCTTAAGCTAGGCTCTTAATTAGCTTTAATTTATAATTATATTTAAAGGTATTAAAATAGCTTACCTATAGCAATTCTTAATGCGCTTAGCAGCCTTTCTAAAGGTGCTGCAATAATAATATATTAAGCTACGCTACTGCGTAATATAGTTGCCAGCCTTTAAAAGGCAAATAAAGCTGCTATAAAGTATAAAGCGCGCAAAAAGAAGTAGATTTAGAAAAAAGGAACTCTAATAATAGAAGCAGGCTTTTAAATAGCTGCTTAAAGGCTTAATAAGGACGCCTAAAGTAAAAGATAGTAAGGTAGAGCAGATTTTAGCGGGAGCGCGTGGTGCTATAAACGCTGCAGTAAGCTAGGGCATAATATTTATACGTGTAAAAATAATATAGAGGTTGCTGTAGATTAGGCTATAAGTTATATATAGTTAATATTTATTAGCGTTATAGAGCAATTAATATTTAAGGCCGGTTTTTATAATAAAGTAGATAGCTTACTTAGGTAGATAGCTTATTTATAGAATATATTAAGTGTTCTATAGAGTAGAATTAAGCTTATAAAGTAATAGGCACTAAAGTAGGCTATACTTACCTTTAGATAAGTATAAAAACCTTACCTCTAATATATTCTATAAGTAAGCTGTTTACCTAAGCAAGCCGTCTACTTTATTATAAAAACTAGTCTTAAATATTAATTACTCTATAACGCTAATAGATATTAACTATATACAACTTATAGCCTAATCTATAGCAACCTCTATATTATTTTTACACGTATAAATATTATACTCTAGCTTGCCGCAGTATCTATAGCGCCGCGCGCTCCCGCTAGAATCTGCCCCGCCTTACTGCCTTTTACTTTAGGCGTCCTTATTAAGCCTTTAAGCAGCTATTTAAAAGCCTACTTCTATTATTAAAGTTCCTTCTCTCTAAATCTACTTCTTTTTGCGCGCCTTATACTTTATAACGGCTTTATTTACCTTTTAAAGGCTGGCAACTATATTATATAGTAGTATAGCTTAATATATTATTATTATAGCACCTTTAAAAAGGCTGCTAAGTATATTAAGAATTGCTATAGGTAAGCTATTTTAATGCCTTTAAATATAATTATAAATTAAAGCTAATTAAGAGCCTAGCTTAAGAGCGTTGCTTAGTATTTTTAATTCCTATTAAGCCTCTACTATAGCAGGAGGCAATAGCGTATAAAGCTAAATATTAAGCTTTAAGAATACTGCCTCTAGATTAAGCGGTATAAGGCCTGCGCCTTAAAAGCCTGCGCAAATATTGCTCTTTATAATTAAGTTATAGAAGGCTGCTTTAAATACTGGCAAGAACTCTAGCTTTATAATATAGTTAATATAGTGGCGTATTAAGTCCTTAATTTAGCGCTTGTATACCTTTTTTAATAGCGTAAAGCAGCTAATATTAAGTAGCTATAGTAGGTGTAATAAATATACTAGTATATAGAGAGTAATAATATTATTCTTCTTATAAATCTCTTTAAATTTAAGTAAGCGGTGGCTCTTATAGCTATTAATAATTAGCAGCTAATATATATCTATAGTGTAATCCTTTATATACTTATTAAAATACTATAGCTAGGTAATACTAAGCTTATTTATTATCTAGCTATTATTGCTTATTGCTATAACCTAGTCTAGTAGTATATTATTGCCCTTATACTATATAGAGAGGTAGTACTTACCTAAAAAGATAATAAATAGCGGGATAGCCTATCTACAGGCATTAACTCCTTAGATTATTATTATCTATTTGTAATTGCCTGGCTATATTAATTTTAGATAATTGCGCCGCTTAGAGCCTATTATAACTATACTAGTTAAGATAACGTCTATTTAAAAGCTAGCTTTATTAAAGTTATATATATTTTTATTTAGAATGCTATACTTTGCTTTTATATTGCGTATAAGCTTAAACTAATTACTAATTGCCTTTAGATTCTTATATAAAGCTCTCTAACAATTATACTTTTAATTAAATTATATTTTAAGCTTAGGTGTTTACTTAATAAAGTTCTTTAGCTAGTTCTTGCTAATATAGCTGGCAGCGCGCTTAGCGAGCAATTTATTGGCCATCTCTTATATAGTATATAGGTTAGGCGGAAATTCTTGCAAATCTAGGTTAAGTATATATTAAACAATAACTAATTCCTTTAGCTTAGAAAGCTTCTTTAAATTAGGCTTAGAATCGCGTTATAGGGTTGTTCCAGCGCGTTAATTTTAAAGTATGCTTCTGGGTACGTTATATATTATAATAGCGCGCCGTTCGCTTTTAAATTGCTGCTAATTAATTGCTGTAATAGCTATATATATTTAATCTTTATTTTATATTAATTATATATTATATTGTTAACGCATAGTAGTTAAAAGTTAACGCGTCGCGTTTTTATAATAAAGTAGACGGCTCGCTTAGGTGGACGGCTTGCTTATAGAATATATTATATACTTTAGAAAAGAATAAACAATCTTCTATACTTAATTTAGCTCTACTTAATTTAATAGGGGCTAGTCCTTTATACTTTGCGCCTATAGATTTGTTTTAAGGTTTTATATAGTCTTTATAGCAGTTAAGGGGATAATTATTAGTGCCTTATATATTATAATATAAATGTTTTATAATAGGTTATATCGATGTCGAAGTTCGAGTCACGTGACCTTAGTGAGTCATGTGCTCGACCTCGCTTAGCGAGCCGCTCTGGATTTACTCCTAGAGTATCACGACGACGATGTATCGCACACGAGCACTAGATAAGCAGGCATCAGGAACGATCTAGATAGCTACGTATAGCTGTCATAATAGCTCAAGAGAATTGGCAAAGAGTCGGAGGCAGGCAGGATAGAGGCAGATCTATATACAGGATGTGGCGCACGCAAAGTTTGCTAGTGTGCTTGGCAGGCAGCTGTGCTCGCAGCATAGCGGTGTGTCGCGGTTAATACCGTGACATGGAGCTTCCTTTGGAATCCTTCCTTTCGGCTCCTTAGTTTAGAATCGTCGAATAGAACTTCCCTATTAGGAGCTTTTGCCCTTTAGATCTTCTAGTTATGACAGTTATTTAATTAAAAAGTTAATATAAGGTTCTTATTTCTCTAATAAATTCTAAGTAATATCTTCGCGAGATTATAATTAATTATAATTAAAAATTCTAGTGAATATATTCTGATTTAATTAATATTATAATCTTAGATAATCTATTTTAAGGGATTTCTTTAGACGGTTATTGTTTTATTACATAATTATATAACTGAAATTATATATATTTAGGTGTGATTCGTAGGGGTGCTGACATAATCGCTTAGAATTCTGACAACCCCTGTTGCATAGGCCACTGAGTAAGCTTTATCCGACACCAAGTATACTTGAACTTATTTGCCCTTATATATCGACTTTATAAAATTGTTGTCGTGCCTAGGTGATACGTAGCTCCTGGCGATTAAAGTCTTATTGGTCATTGAATGCACTTGGGAAGCTCGACATCCTAACCACGATGTCGACTTCCATCTCAACCTAGGGATAGGGCTGACGTGACTTGCTTAAGTTAAAGTCTCGCCAAATAGGAATTAAGTTAATTAAGCACCTTTGTTCTGTCTTCCAATATGTTTAAGTCAGTATTCGTCCTCTTTTTTCTGGCGGTGGCTCTGCCAATATACTACCGACTACGCTTCCACCCCTTTGCTTATGTGCCGGGGCCGCTACTTGCTGCTATTTCGTCCCTCTTTCTTTATGCTATATGCTATCTTGGCATCAAGGGCAGCGTGATACGCGGATATCATGAGAAGTACAAGACCAAGGTCATTCGTATAGGCCCCAATGCCATTTCAGTGGCCGACAGCAATGCCGTTCGGGATATCTACGTGGCTGGCGGTGGATTCCTTAAGGATGCCCGGTATAAGAACTTCAACCTCGGGCCGGTGGTGTCAATGTTCTCCTCCATCGACACAGCCTACCGCGATATGAGAGCGAAGGCAGTTGCGCCGCTATTCTCGCCTGCACGGCTGCGAGAAGAAAGCAGCGCCCAAGGCTCTATTGGACGACACGTAGCGGACTTTTTGAGCCAGCTCTGCGCATTTCGGCAAGCGAAGATTAAGACCGATATTTTGGATCTCTGTGCAAAGCTCTCTATCGATGTAGTGTCGGACTACGTGCTAGGTCAACAATTTGGTGGATTGACTGAGCACGCATATCTGGGCCTAGCTGAACGCCAAACTTCAGATGCAAAACTCAGCGCCAACGGGTTTATACACGCCATCGTGGGATTTTCTCGCTTCTCGTTACTCCCCAACCCTCTTTTCAAACTCCTCTACTTTGTCTCCCAGAAGATTAGCTACAGTGACAAAGTGGACAAGTTATTTGGGAGGATCCAGGAGTTCATAGGCCAAGTTATAAAGCACACGAAGGGAGGCAAGACAACTAAGTCCTACCAGGATCGTCTCCTCGCAGCAGGCATATCTTTCTCAGAGACCACAATGCAAAGCGAAGCCATCCTGTTTGCCGGCGGCGATTCCACCGCCGTCATGCTGGCCACGATTCTCTTCCACCTGACTCAGAACAAAGAGGCCCGCGCCCGTCTCCTGCACGACATCCGCGCCGCACCGCCCACAGCAGACGACAACAGAAAGCCCGACATCCCCTTTCTGCGCGCGTGCGTCAAGGAAGGGCTGCGCCTGGGAATGGCGAATCCTACAAGACTAACGCGAGTTGTGCCGCCTGGCAAAAACCTGACCATCGACGGCATCTCCACCACGACCCTGCCATCTTCCCCGACCCTTTTGTCTTCCGGCCGGAGCGGTGGATCGACGACGAAATGAACTGCGATCTGTACCGTCCGCACATGGAAAGAAGCTTGATTGCTTTCGGGGCGGGTCTGCGTGCTTGTCTGGGCAAGAACCTGGCCATGCAACAGCTGTTGGAGACAGTGGCAGCGGTCGTCGATAGTAAAGTGTTGGAGGGAGCTCGGACGAGTGAAGAACGGATAGAGGTTATTCAGTGGTTTAATAGTGATATCAAGGGTCACCACATCGACATAGAGTGGTGATACATCCGTGATTCCAAGTATTTAGCTAAATCAAAGTCGTGATAAAACGTTTGGCTTTGCATGACTTTGCGCTATACACCCTGTCACGACCCAACAAGACCACTGCATATTTTACATCCACTCAGACGATGAATTCGACCTGCTTTACGATGTCGACTCTATAAGCCACTTCAGCGATAGCCTAAGCCTCAGCGACAAGGCTTAATCCCATCCCGCCGGCCAAGATCGAACCCACTGCTAGATTACAGAGACCCACCGGCCCTTATAAGATACCGGTTATGCCATACACCACTTATTAGGACAATATGGCTACTGTAACAAAACAACTTAATACTTACTTAATCCAAGACCACACTGCTAATGCTACAGCTCCTGGGTTTTAACGCAGCTCGGGCAGCACCAAGAGCCGGGGAAATATGGTGAACGATGGCTTGCAGTACGCATTCCGGTATTAATAGCCCAAGATTCGTGTAAAGAGTTCACTGCCTACTCTCCTGCAAATCGACTTTCGAGGACTTATGCATTTCCATACCGACCAGACAATCAGCCCGGGTAACTTCGTGCGCAAAATATAATAATTTCAAGAGTTGACTCGATAGATCTTATCAGACTCAAGCATGGGTTTTAATTCAGTTCTGGTACATTCTTTTAAAACTTTAATACCTAGGTAGCTACCCTACCAGATTGGTCTCGATGCTTATAGGCCATAATTAATCTATAATATTGGTTAACATTGTTAAATGCGTAGCCTAAGGCCGTGATTTGATAGTGGCTCTCAACATTACCGTTAACCGGCAGCTGCTGCACGACAAACCGTGGTTCTCCTTGCACGTTTTAAGCCATTCGCGAACCAGACATGGATTAATCGTGTGCTCCGTAATCAGACGAGCAAGGTGTTTTGCGCCTGTAAATCGCCAACCTGCTTCCTTAGTATATCAATCTGTTTTAGTACTATTTCCCTCTCGATCCTTGTCCTTTCCAATTCCATTATTAGGTTGTTCTTTGCTTCCTTTTCTTGCTCCTTTTCCGCCTGTCCTCTGCCTTCTTCTCGTCCTTAAGCCGCTTCTCCTTAAGCTTCTTAAGCTCCCTCTTATAGTTTTCCTCTTGTCTGGCAATCTCCTTGTTATGCTTATCCCGGAGCTTTGCTACGGCGTTGTCGTTTTGGTCCTTTTTGCCATTAGGACTGCGCTCTTAGGCCTTGGCTCTCTTCTCCTCAAGCTTTCGATAACGCTCTCGCAGCTTCTTAAGCAGCTTCTAGTATTGCGTCACCGAGAAATTTCCTCCAGACTCGTCACTCTTGCAGGAATATAGTGAAGTTAAGTCCACGTAAGACTTAGTATTGTCTCTAACCGGCTCTGTCGCTTCGGGAGCAGATATAAAGCTACCCTCGGACTTATTAGAGTTAGAATCGTCGGAGTAGTATTGGGGTCGGTCTCTTCTTGCTCTGATATATAGAGTCTGCGAAGCTAAGATGCGACTGCGGATAAGGCTGCCCCCAGGATGCTAGTGGCAATACTATACAGTACAGACTGCTTGGTGGTAATTAATCCTGTGAGAATCTATAGTTGGAGGCTTAATAAGCAGCGATATTGGACGTGGTCTTTCGTGGCGGTAAGGGCAGCGCTTGTTCCCGCTTTAGATATCAAAAGTTCTTGCTTCTCGGCGGATGCATTTAAGTAAACTGCCCACCGCTTAAGCGCACGATGCTAAATTCAGAGTTAGTTTTACGTGAGTTCTTCGATATGATTATCGAAGCAACCGTTAAATGCCACTTTTCGAATTATGGCCCAAGGGAAGATAACATCTCTACCGGCCGGGCACCTGGATAAACGCACCCAATAATTATTATAAAGTGGACTCTTATGCTTTAGAATCTTAAGAACCTCCTCTACTGTATCTATACTTATAGGGCAGTTCTTATTTAGAGGGCGAACCTAGGTCAGATCTAAGATAAACCGGACACTCGACTTCTTAGTGGAGCCTTTAAATTCCCAGCTGTACTTGAAGGGATTGCCATCCTAACCTACGGCAGTTGGTATTAATCCGACCTGAGGCTTTCCTTAAAGCAATAGACAAATAACAGCACTGTAGAGCGTAAGGAACTAGTTCTTTATTTTATCGGGAAACTTAGCCTCCTCTATTATCCGAGCCAGGTCTAATCCGCTGGTGCGCCACTAGTAGAGCGCATTGTTATCTAGTTTGGTCACATCAATACCGACGACTAAAGATGGCAACTCTGATTATTTGCCAACACCTCGCTCCAATTGCGTGGTCTCTACCGCGTTTAAGCCTATTTCTAGAATGTAGCAAGTTGTCTAGGCACTACACAAAGAGAACATCTGTTGTAGGATTTGTCGGCTGTCGAGCTGAGGTGGATTTAGTATCGTAGCGCAACACTGACTATTAAATGAATTCAAAGTGATCTTTCCACTTAATTATACCTGTTATTAGGGAGGCGTTGACATCGACGTCAAAACAACGGGCTTATATTGTTTCCGCAATTTTAGAGAAGTCGAGGGGCCTTTATGCCCGTGCTCGGACTCAGCTAATATATATTAGGTCCTTGCCCAGGTATTGTACTTAGTTCTTAAGTCTTATATTCGGTCACGGGTTTACTAGGTGACAAATAAATTATAACAGGTTCTTTAGAAAGTATGTTATTTACCTGGTGCTGGACCCCAAGTTAGGATCGGTGCCCCTTACTCGGCACCGATACCTCCTGTCGATTCTCTTATACATTAGGCTTCGCCGGCCAGTCGCGCCGTTGTGCTAGAGGTTTGTTTGTTATTAGCCCGGCGCAGATCGGGTTCAACCTGGGAGTGGGACTGAGCAACAGAAGCCTTTTTGCGCGCGGTTGATCGTTCCAGGGCAGGAAGACAAGGGCTATCGGTCGGCGATCTCAGTAAAGGTGGAGTATTTGCGCTGCGTCTAGAAAGCGTAATAACGGTATAAACCTACTTCGCCACGCTATTATAAGGCGCAGTGACCATTTAAGGAATAGCGTGTTATCTGACTAAGCCCCGAGCGAGTTTCCTTCGCGCCTTCGCGACTGCTGTGCTTAAGGCCTTTCCTATCTATAGCTCAACTTTTAAAAAGTCAGCTTTAAGCTGTTAAAGCTAATCCTATTAAGGATGAACTCGATTCGTTTCGCGATACGTTAAAGTCGATATTTCCCGATGCAATTGCTTAAGGACGACTGCTCTCTTTTAAGGACCTTGCTGCTAGTTCAGGTTCCCAGGTGGGAAGTAGTAGCAGAAGGAAGACCGAGAGTTGTATAGTCGGATAAAGCTAGTACTGTAGTCGCTAGAAGGGACAATAAGGGTGTTGCAAGAAACGCGAGTGCGGACTTGCGAGAGCTTAGCTCCAGCAAATGTGCTTGACTAAGTCGTCTTGCATGGCTATTGGGCCCGTGCCTATGCCCTCCGGCTCGGACAGCAATTAACAAGTACATCCCGCATGTCTAGCAAGGCAACTACTCTAACTCCCCTACGTCTTTCCTGAATAGCACTATAGCATCTTAGACGAAGATTAGTTTCCTATTAACGGTCCGCTCATTTCAATTTTCGCACCCGACGCAAGCCAGCGCTGCTTCTCTGCTCTGCCGTTGCAGGGCGCCCGACAGCTACAGCACCCCCTGTACTACGACGCTGCTAGGGACACTTATTCTGTCTAAGGACCCTTGTTCTAGGACTTCTATCCTAGAACGGTTGCCCAAGGACCTATAGTATCCTATAACGATTGTCCTAGGACCTATAGTGCCCTAGGACGGCTGTCCTAGAACCCTTGGTGTTCTAGAACACCTGCTGTTCTAGAGCCCTTTTCCTAGGTCCTATCCTGTCCTCGCCCTAGTGTCCTAGGACCTATATTATGCTAGGACCTGGCTACAGCTCCAGGAGTTCGCAAATGGCAAAGTCACGTGCAGCATGAGTCAACTTGCGATTTGGCACTTGCACTGCACGATCCGCCGCCACGATCGCCGCCACGATCGCCATCCGCCCGCTTGCACGATCCGCCTGTTTGCACGATCCGCCTCCTCGCACGATCCGCCTCCTCGCACGATCCGCCTCCATGATCACCTCCACGATCGCCTCCTCGCACGATCCATTCGCTTACACGATCCGCCTCCTCGCACGATCCGCCCGCTTGCACGATCCGCCTGCCTGAAAGATTCCACCTGCTCGCACGATCCGCCTCCGGATCGTCTCCACGATCGCCTCTTCGCACGATCCATCCGCTTGCACGATTCGTCCGCTTGCACGATCCGCCCGTTTGCACGATCCGCCTCCGATCGCCTCCTCGCACGATCCATCCGCTTCCACGATTCGCCCGCTTGCACGATTCGCCTGCCTGCACGATCCGCCTGCTCGCACGATCCTTGCGCACTTGGCGCCTTTTGGTCACCGTCATCATTACTACCTATCATATTTTGGGGGCATCCCAGAGAGACGTTCATCTTGGGATGCCCTTACTAATCTTATATTGGACTAGCTTAATAGTAACAGCCAATTAGTTGCCACAAGGGATCGGGGATCCTGTTCCTGCATGATTAGAAACCAGAAAGTGTGAGTCGTCATGTGGAAAGTGCGACGGCATACATCTTATTAAGAAGGAGGGCTCTTTAGTCAGCAGAAATGCACCGGCCCAAGATTGCGTGCGCCTCTTAATAAATAACTTTGCTGGTGGTCGTCAAGACGCCTCGAAAAGGTTCGAGTCCCGCGAGGGCGAGTTTTTTTGATCCTTCTTTTAATTGATTTTTCGCCGGATCGTGAATCTGGGCCTTATTTTTGGTGGTTTGGAGCGTTGGAAGGTGTATAGGGGTGCTTCGAACGATGCGTAAGGACGTGCAACGGCGTTTAACGGCGGTCAGATATACGATCAGGTGTTAATTAGATCGTTGATGAAGTCCAAACGTCTTTTGTGCGATAACGATACGGATTTGTTGTAGTTGTTGGCGGCCATCTTGGCTAGCACGAGACGGCGAGTCTTGCGCGGGTGCGGGCTCTCGCAAGAGTTAGGTCGCGCGCGCTGGGCCTTCAAAGGCGAGAGAATTCGCATCTCTACTATCCACAACCACGAAGAAGCGCTGACAAATTTCACAAGAAAGTCCTTCGACTCTATTGCTCGCTACGACAGCTACAACCAATGCGAAGCTTCTTATAGAACACCCGCAGCCACGCCGTCCTCACTTCCGCGAGCGCGCCGCCGTGGACCAACTAGGTGTTACAACGTATACCTTTCTAATTCGACGTTCACATTAACGGAAGTTGACGAGCAGGCTGGGTTCTTTCACGTTTGTATACTGCAGTATGTAGTATTAGGAGGACATATAAGAGAAGGCTGCGACCGATTATATTGCCTCTGAATAGATATAATATCGTGGGAAATCCCTTCTCCTAATAAACAGTAACGACAGGCATCTCGTAATCTATCTTGCGCTTCCTCAAGCCAGTACTTATTCGAGTTATCGATGTGGTAATATTGTCTTCGTCCTTAAGAGGAGGGCGGTGTGTTGCAGGCTGTGCCGCCGCAGTTGTTAGGGCCGTTTGCTTCCTTATAATTCTTCACACAGGTCAAGGGGTTAGGGCAGGTGCTTGTTTATATATTTCGGGATTTAATGTAACCGCATGCGTAGAACGTTGTAGTTAAATCATATATCTTAAGAAGGTTAGCACTAAATAAGAAAGGCTCTTCTAGTTGCCATTAGACTTACTTTACTAGCTTATACGTGCTGCTTTATAGTTGTAAGTATAAAGGTCAGCACTAGAGGATAGCGCCCTATTCCTATATAATTGCCCCGCACTGCTAACATATAGCTATTACCCGCCACATATAGCGTATAATATATGTATTAGCTATAGTCTTACAGTCTTAGCGAAGTGCAAATATTAACCCACAGCTTAAGCGAGAAGTAACCAGCAGTAATAGCTCTTAAGCTTTTTATTCCGCCCTGCATCTATAAGCCGCCTTATTATCTTCATCCTCCGCCTCTTTATAAGCTACTGCGGATTTAGATACATAGACCACTAGAGTCTATACAGAAGCTTCTTCCTAACGTATCTTGGCACCGGGTTAGCCCCTTTCCGCAGTCAGCGGGGCGGACTCTTGCAAGCCTTACACACCAGGCGCTATATAGAGAGAACGACCTTTAGTCTTCCAAAGGCGATCTGCCTGTTCAAGATAAGTATTTAGCCTGGGCAATAGATAGAAGAAGGCTATTAGAGTAAGTATGCATTGCTAAAAGACGCTGTATAGTATCGCTTAACTGATTCTTGTTACTTTAGCTATATTAACTACTACGGAGTTACCTTTAACTACCTCGTCCCAGCCAATAATCTAAACCCAGAAGTGCTGGCCATCAGTATTATACTATACCTTAGACTATAGCTGTCTTAAGACGGCTATAGTCCTAAGACAACTATAGTCTAAGGTATAGTATTAAACAAACTGTCCAACAGGCTCGTCTAGGTGGACTATTAAATGGTCCGCTTCCGGCAGTATCTAAAAGTGGGATTAAGGATATTCAGCTAGCGCAATTTCTTGAAAATTTGGACGTTTCATTCTTTACTGCAGGTTCGGCGAAAATTACAACGTAGGGCACCGACGGATACTTTACAGATTCTATTAATATTATCCGTAAGGTTGCTGCTGTAAGTATATCTTGCCTAAACATCTAGATTCTCTTAACTAATATTACTATAGCAAGAAGAGGTCTAACCCGCGTCTTTAATTACTCGCCGTTCCTGTAAGTGTTTCCCGTGTTTGTATGCTTAATTGGCGAGGACTTAGCAGGTTAAGGCTGAACATCTGACGCAGGGGGAGCACGTCCCGCCGTCACGTGCTTAGTCCTTCTTGGCCTGCGTCGGGTGACGACCTTCGTTGGCCCATTAGTAGTTTGGTTAAAATATGCTGCGGTCTTCTTTACTGGCGGGGGATATATTTTTTCCTTATACGTTAATTATCTGTGAAATAATGGAAGAAGGGATATATATAAGGGTTTCTGGACCTAGTAAAGGCTTATCTGTAGAAGTGTAGGTACAGAATCGGCCGTTACGTTGTGCTATAAACTATATGTCTGTACCATAATCTTCCTACAACTCTTAAAATTTGTTATTAAGGGTCTCTAGTCGCTTTCGGACATTTTCGTTCGCGGCTTGCTTCGACTTTAATTGTGCAAGTATTCGTATTAACTGCTCTGGAGACATAGCTGCGAATAGTGGACTATTAGCGGGCGCCCCTAACCTCTGCTATATAATATAAGGGCTAGATGTAAATTCTGTATCCTGGATAGAGGCAGAGGAATGCGTAGAGAATATAAGATCTAGTTTTCAGATTACGGTTCCAAATCTAGTCCCTGCCAACGTTAAAAATTCCAGGTCTTTGGAAACCGCCCAGTTCTAAGACAAAACTTACTGGAAATAGTACAGCTTGGAGCCAGATAGTGGCTCTATGTTCTATTCTGGGCTGTCTCCTTGTCCCGGATATAGGCCACATACGCCAAGACCTGCCAAGGCGATAAGGGTCCCATTTTCGGGCACCTGCCTGTGGCCACTTCGAGCTCGGCTGGCCCTTTAAATTAGCTGGCCGCTAAGATTTCGGCTGGCCTCTAAGAAGTCGGCTGGCCACTTAGATTGGCTGGCCGCTAAGAATTGGTTAGCTACTTATAATTTGGCGGGCCGCTAAGAATTGGTTAGCCACTTATAATTTGGATGGCCTCTTAGAACTTAACTAACCGCTCGGAATTCGGCCAGTTGAATTCTGCCGCCCAGTTCAAAAAACCCTTCACAGCGCCGAAAACGTTATCAAATATAGCTGAGCCTTAACTAAAACGCATATGAAACGGTGTGGCCTTCGAACGAAACAGAAAACGGGTTAACCCTAACCCAAATTAGAATGGTGGGGAATTCTCATCCGCATACTATTTTTGGTCAGAAGTCTAACAGGTTCCTTATACAGTTAGCCTCGCATCCTTTGCTGTTTGACCGTTAGATGCTGTGCCAGTTAGTGGACACGTGGCGGGGAAACACGCCGCAAAACACAGCTTGCAAGAACCATTTCTAGTCTCTGCGGCGCGGGCGACGGCGATCCCTATAACATGCCTGGATCTAAGATCCACCTAACCCTTCGATCCGGCTCCAGGCGTCTAGTGTACACGAGGTATAGTCCCGCACGGGGCGTAATACATACACAAAACGGTCCCATATGGGAGGCAATTCGGGAATTGGAACATACAGCCCCAGTATCTGTTTTGTGTAATGACTTTCGCGTTTCTGGTTTTCGTTTTGCCGCTTTCGAAATCGTGGATTGGTTTACCACCAATTAGATGTGAATGATTCCCATGCGGGATATTACGCCACATGCATTTTTGTCGCGCGGTTACAGATTCGCTGCGGGCCAGAGGTGGGTCAAAGTTGGTGCCTATGCGGGTTCATGCACCGTAGGGCCATATCCCGTACGGGATACACGCCCGTACCGCTAAACCCCCTATGGGATTTATTGCCATACCCCTACATACGGCACGGGAATGGCTCCTATATGCGAGAAACGCACAGGGATATGAAGCCCGTATGGTGGCAGGATTTGAGATGGGCGCTACATCACACATCCCGTACGGTGATTTAGCGCCCATGGGAGCGGTCCAGATTCCCGAGTCCTGCATCGCTCGTATAGGTCGTCACCCGTTTTCTTCCACCCGCATACAGCCGTCGTCAATACGGGACGCAAATTGCTTCCTGTAACTCCTTATACTCGAGACGGCCCCGTACGGGACAAGCTCCTCCAGATACACACACCCGTTTTCACACTCCACTCGTACACACGGTACTGCCGTGCGGCACGGAGGGCGCTACCTTTCCCCGTCCGTATGTTAACGACTCCCATACGGGACGCAGGCTAACGGCGGTCGTCACCCGAACCGGGAATTCGCTCGTTCGCATGAAACTCCCGCAAGGGCCACTTCATCGATATCTTCTGTTACCCGCACCCTGTATATCCTCCTGCGGACGATGATCCCGTACGGGGTTCGACTAGCAATGTCATCTGCTCCCGTAGGGCGGTTGTCACCCGAACCGCGTAAGGGCCCCTTCTCCGCCACATAGGGACCAGTACGAGCTGTGTACCATTCTAAAGTTGGGATCATGGGGGCTGGTACGACATCCGTACCGTTCCTAAGGGCGTACCATTACGAAGAACGCCTATATAGGGACCAGTACGAGCTTTGTACCATTCTAAAGTTGGGATCATAGGGGCTAGTACGACATCCGTACCGTTCCTAAGGACGTACCATTACGAAGAACGGTAATGTTGAATGTCACGGTTAATGGTGGCTGAAACGATGTGACAAGGGGTGAGAATGGATACATATATGAGGCACCCCGCCCATCCATAGCCAAAAAATCAATGAAGACACAATCACTTGCTCAACAGGTTATGAGCCCGGCTCGCACGATTCAGGTTTTGAGAGATATATACCTAC